CAACTGCGTCTGGATCCACTTTCTATAACCCCAAACGAGGAGATTGTAAATTGCGTTTTGAAATGGATTGTCATCTGTACGCGGTAAATTCTCATTATATGTAGAGTAGAGTTTAGCTTAAGGGGATTGGGTGTTCAGTCCTTATCACGACTGGGAAGTCATGACACTCCACACGACAACGAAGGGTATGGAAACGCAGGAATTTAGCCGTTTGCATCCTCCCCGCCACCCAGTTTGTACAGTTGTTCTGTGTTTGTTTCGTTTGTTGCTGTAAAAGAGATTATGAAGACATATGCAGTATATGAAAAATCATCAACATCCACAACAAAGACAAAAACAATACCATAAAAATATACTATACAATCTAAGGCGAAAATAAACTATACAATTCTAATGACTTATCTTACGACATGTTGGCTTCATCAGGAGCTGGATGATGGTGGTTGACGGGAAGACGTGGGAAGTTGTGCGTTGTTTGCCCTTGAAGTACTAGCGGGCGTGGATGGTTTTTGACGTGGTCGATTGCTGACGATGGCGTCCTTAACGTTTGATGAGTCGTGCCGATGCCAGAAGTTGTAGAGGAAGGACGGGTTTGAATATCACGAGAGAGAAAAGGTGCTGATGATAGTGAAGAAAAAGAGACCTATGAGTAGAGGAAGAAAGATTGAGACGATGAGGTGAAAATTTGAAGATTTTCTTGTCTTTGTTGGTGTGTTTTGTGAACAGAATAGAGACCGGATAAGCATTAGAGCTCCGATGATGGTTAGGAAGACTGTTGAAGAGTAGTGTAAGAATTGCTTGCACGTTTTAAATAAATGAGAGAAGTCAGGAAGAGCGAGGTCCGTGGCAAATTTCTTGTTCTTTTTTTTGTTGTTTTTTTCGTTGCTGTAGTAATTGTTTGAGTTGCTATTTTGGCCAATGCACCATGTTTTTGTTCGACGGTAGTATGCGAAGTGTCTAGTACGTCGTTTATTTATTTTATCACTACAAAAAATAAATATATAATGGAGAGAAGAGGACAGATGTTATTACTCGTATTGTCTCTTAGAGTATGCGTTCTATAGCAAGTTGTTTCGTCTTCTCGAAGGGGTGGGGAGTCCGGCCGGTACAGATGCGACAAGGCGTCGTGTAGAAGTTGGATTGCATTGGGATAGTTGGGGTGCGACCGTAGTCGCTTGATGAGAGGGCGGAGCCCCAGAGGGAGACAGCCAAAAATTGGATGAAGCTCAATACTGGAGATAGAGTCGGAGAAGAAGACCGCCACTGCCGTCCGGAGCGCACTCTTTATACCTTTAAAAAGAGCGTATACATGTATATGCGAATAGGCGAGGTAGGCAGGCGTGTTGGAATGGATTGTCATCTGTACGCAGTAAATTTCAAATTATGTGCCGCAAATCGGCACTTGTTCATTGCAAGTGTAGAGTTTAGCCTAAGGGGATTTGGGTTGTTCAGTCCTCGTCATGGCTGGAAAGCCATGACAATGTTTCGTGAACATCTCGGACACTCTCACCTGCACGGTCTATTTCCAGATATTCCCACAGATATCGCTCGTTTTGTAACACTCCTCCCCTTCCTATAGTGACATTTCATCCACAGTGAGTGAGGCTAGTGAATCAGACAGACATCAGACTTAGAAACCTTCACTTTGACAGGCGATGACGAACAGATAATGGACGCCGCCGGCTGCCCTCCCAACTACAGTAGCGCCGAATTGAAAACTTAACTTCATCTCTCGCGATTTTGACAATGTTTTCGTAACGGTTTCGTAACTTTCCCTTCGAAAAGGGATCATTCGCTAACCGGGCAGAACACGAAGACAGTAGTTCTAAAGGAGATTTCTTCGCGAAAATTATTTCAAGGCCTTGTCTAACCCTTCCAAACAAACTGCAGTGTAGTGCAATCTTGATCGGGAATAAATGCGGTATGCTCATTCAGAAGGGCTATATCTAGAATTATCGTTAAATACTTACAAAAACAAAGCTCTTCAATCGAAAATTGTTCTCGTAGCTGTTTGGAAGTAAACAACTGCTATCAATGTCAACAATCTCAATAAACAGTCACAAACTAAATCATCTGAGCGTTGTCTTCCGATGAATAGATTGACTTCAATCAGAAGCAGTCTCTTCAAAACTATGGTGCATTGAAAACCCCAGGAAAAGAACGGTGAAAAATTGTGTGACATTTCATCCACAGTGAGTGACACTAGTGAATCTGACAACGATGACCCCTGAGCACATGAAAATCGACTACTGGGGATATAAATAGGATAAGTTATACCTACGATTTGAAGGTTCACTGGTCTTGGAGTTGACGTGAAAGGAAATGGTGGCG